TAAAAGTGTCTTAGCGTATTTCTAATAAAAAGTAATCTGTTTACTTAAGTTCATTTAATAAACGGAATTGTTTTAGAAGTTGTATGCAGAAGACTTCTCTTTTATAATTGTAGGTTTATATTGAAAAATATATTGGAAATAGTTCTAAGATTAATAAAAACTTTTAAAAATTAGAGTGTAGATAATATTAACTTTTTTTTTTATTGAAAAATTAAAAAGTTTAATTAACATATATTTTTGTATAACTGTATAATACTAAATTATATAATTAAAAATATACTATTATATTAAGTGGAAAGAACAACTATATAATGGTTTATTAATATTAAGTCGCCTTAATATCTTTTATTAAGTATTCCCTTTTCATTATTTACAATAATATTAATGATATACTATTATTAATATGTTTAAGTAGTGCGAATACCCATGTTAATTATATTTATCAAGTATTTTTTTTTATTTTCATTATTAATAAAGTTACAAATGCGTTATATTAGTATTGAGCAAAGTTATTTTTTTCAATTTAATTTTTTTTAAATTTGCTTATCCTTATAAATAAATTAAATTATAACAGATTTTTTATGCATATATTTCAATTTTTTTATTAAAACTTGACTCTGCGATTAAAGCCAAAGACCGACAGGTAAAAAATGTCGGCTTTATATTTTTTTGCTTTGTAAACCGAGCGCAGACTGCTTAGTTTCGCTAATAAAATATATTATTTTGCGTAGTTCAAGCTCAATTTCCACAAACATGAACATATATGTGTGCAGAGGTTTACAAACAATAGGTGCCCGCTTCAAGCGGATCTTTATATATACTCAAAAAAAATTTATCTTAAAACAAGAGTAACATTACTCCCAAATTAAAGGTAGCTTTAAAAGCTTATTAACACAATCCTATAATTCTGTGTCAAAATAAATTGACTGCGTGCTGCGAGCAGTTTACCATGATGAGGTATGAGTCGAGAAGTTTTGGAAGAGCTCCTTAAAACAATATACATCTCTATAACGATATTTTCACTAGAACACCTTTTTTTTATAAAGCGGGAGGGCCCCCATGACTACTTAGCAGTAGTAAACAGGCAAACTCTTGAATCGTTTAATGTTATAGCGCTATAAGCGAATCTACCTTATTGAACATTTGTCGTGATCAAAGGTTAAGCGCGGCCCGGGCGAGGGTAAACGAATTAAGATCATGGTTTACCGACAAAGGGGTTTTAAGTTGGTAGCCAGGGAAGGCCAAAAACAGTGACTGTCTGCTTTAAGAACAAATAAAAAGTTTTCTTATAAGTCTCAAAAATAGCTCAAGAAATTAAGTAGCATAAAATTTGTTTTATACTGAACGTATCTTCGGAAAGAACCACATCAAATAGGCTATGAAGTCGAACTAGCCTTATTCCATTCCTCTGACAAACTTTTATTAAGTGCAGAGGACTTCTACTTCTGTTGGCCTAGTTTAACGGTTGCCGTCCTTTTTGTCCTAAAGTGCCACTTTATTTGCTAAAAATATTTGATGTTGCCACTTTTTCTTTTCCATTCCTCTGAAATATACCGCACACGTACCCCTGCCTACCATTCATCGGAAAAAAGCTTTTTTTTAATTTTTTTCCATCCACTGATGTGTACGCCACTGCAGTGAGCGGATGGAGGGAGCCACGTGCCACATAAAATTTCAACGGCTGCCGCAAATGCCTAGTTCGTTTAAAGCTTAAAATGCTAATGAATAAAAGTCAGCGTCATGAATGATAGTAATCATTGACGATCAGAAGTCATTGTTCGTAAAAGTGAAGGCGAGCCGGAAAGTTAAAATGCAAGTAATAGTGTATAGTATCTGTGGCGTTTGCCCGGGCAAAGAGCTCTCCGAGTGCACTACAAAGCAATTCAGTAAAAGATATTGATGGTTCTATCGTTAGTTAAGATGTTCTCTAGTTTGAACGAAGGAACTACACGAAAGGGTCACTATAAATAGCAGTTCCAAAAAACTCTTTAAACTTAAAGTCAGGTAGGATCGCATCTTATATAGTCTTCAAAAAATGTTTATCTTGTGTTAGATTTCTAACCGCGCCAAGAAGCAAGCGCTCTCCTTAGAGGGCGGGTAGGAAAATTAAAAAAACCTTTCCTAAAACCCCGCGAGAAATTACTCGGTAAGTCTACTGTCCTGTGCTGGCAAAGTAGCAGAGGCAGTTGTACTCAGTCGATCACAGAAATATGTGAAACAAACCATATCATCTTTGAAAACCAGTTTGGGTTCAGACGGGAGTCATTCAACTACGAAGCAATCCTTGAGCTTTACAGAGCACGTGACAAAGGGGTTTAACAATGTCTACGTGTCTCTTCTCTTAGATATTGAAAAGGCTTTTAACAGAGTTTGGCGTGCGGGACCCATAACTAAAATGGTCAACCTAAGAATACCACCCTTATTAATTCATTTCTGCATGGTAGAAAGTTTTTTTACTAAAATTGAAAAGGCCTGCTCAAGTTTAAAGGAACTCAGGAAAGGCGTATCACAATGTTCCTTACTTTCTCCCATCCTCTTCGATTTACATGGCAGACATACCTAGACCGATCAATACCTCAACATTACTATCACAATTTGCTGATGACACAATCTTTGCGATTTCTAAGTCAGTTCCATTAGCAATAAAACATGAGCATTCTATGGAAAACTACCTGTCGTTTGAGTAAGGTCCACTGAAAGCTACGCATGAAGATTTATAGAATGAGTAATAACGGATAGCATTATTGTTTCAAGTCCAGAACCATTGAAACAGTTACAGAAAGTAGCATTAAATTTGGCTACCAAAAAATGGCTACGTAAATGCTAGGACTTACACTCATTCGGATATCTCTGGTCGTTCGGATCTGGATGGGTTCCTAGAATAGTGCTATTTACTTTTACTTAAATAGGCTCGGGCTCTGGTTCGCCCAGTGGTACCTCGCTATAAACTTCAAAGAGCGAAGCCATAACCATTACTAAAAGATGTAAAAGACTAAATGTTCACATAATTATCATTAACGGTACGCCAGTCCCCTGGTATACTAACGTAAACTGTCTGGGCGTCATATAGAGACAACAGACTTCTTGGCGCAACCATATTGATCTTGTCACGAAAAAGGCTAAACTAGAGATCAAACTACTATACACGCTTATATGCCTGGAAAGTCGCCTCTTTAAAGGTATCAACCTTCAACTTTATCTCACCGCCATTAGGATAAAGATGACCTCCGCATCTATGGTGTGGTCATATCCCCCCTCTGTCACAATTCAGCCAACCTGGTTATACAAAACTCTACACTAAGAACTATTTTCGGTGTCCCGTGGTTTGTTCCAAGCTATATTCACCGCGACAATATTTTCAACGTACAATCAAAAAGAATTTGAAAAGTTTTTGGCTCATTCTAATCCGCTATTTATTTAAGAACTTACCATACGAGTTTATGCAGGAAATACAGGAGACCTCGATATAAATTTGATTGCGTCTTATGCTTCAGTGACTGCCTAATTATACCTGGCTGTAGCACGTCAGTGTTATAAACATATAAATTACCTTTTTACAGTTCTTATAGAGATCTAATGCGTATCGCCACCTCTTGGTTCTCAAAGTTATAGTCTTTTAGTTGTGAGTGCACTATAGCTCTTAGCGATTTTTTTAATAGAAATTAAGAAAATTATTGCAGTGTCTTCAAATCTTTATGTGGCTAACGACATAAATTTTATTCTTTTGATAAATTAGTTCTTGAACTTTAAGCCCACAAAACAATAATAAAAATAGAAGTTTGCTACAGTTTACAAGGCCAAACCTGGGGACATGCGCTACTATTTAACTTCATAAATCAGAAATATAAAGATTTTTCCAACACATGTTAACCTTCTGATGAACTCATAAAAGTGATAAAACTTTTAAGTTTAATGAGCTAGCCAGCAAAATAGTAATTATTACACCTCGAGATCTTGACTAGGAATCTTTAACCTTATTATTATTCTATTATAACTTTTTAAGAGAAAAGAAAAATTAATTATTCTTATTATAAAAGAAGCAACCACTGAAATAAAAACAAATGTTGATAAACCTTGTTGGAATTACACTATAATTATTGAAGCGATGGTAGATAACCTTACAAAAGATATGTCGGGTAATGTGTACTATAAACACGCTTATTAAAAAAAAGCCTAAATCTTCACTGCTATTTTTTTAAAAAAAGTTTCAATAATTATTTTTATTAACTAAATATAACGGAAGATAAATGCTATTATTTTTTAATGGTTTTAAAAGATGTTTTATATATATAAAGAATAGCCGATTTATTCTTCTAAACTTTTTTTAATAAACGAATTATAGCTCCCTCTGCGCGTAGTCTTGTGGTTAAACTCTAACGCCTATAGCACCACGTTACATAATAGAGGGGAAAACTAGTTTGTTTATTGCTTCACTCCCGCGCCCCGAGAACAGCTTATAGTGAGGGGAAGGTTTTTTACACACATATATAAACTAAGGGTGACGCCTTGTAAAGTATAAAATAACTTATTGCAAGCTGTAAGGCTAACTAAACCATTTTAACAACCTGATGTAATTAAAAAAGTTTTAGAAAATTAAAAACTTTATAGAAATAGTATAATAGTGACTTTAAAATGAACGACATAATGGTAAACCAGCACCTAATAAAATATTTAACAAAAGTAAAATTCCAATTAAGTAACTAAGGAAACTTACTAAATTATCAGCAATTATTTTATATACATTTTTATATATAATTTTAGGTTCATGGATGCTCTCTAACAGCATTTTTCGGTGTCGCATTCAGCAAAATATAACCAGAAAACATATGGATGGGTTTCCTCGTCGCAAAATTATACTTTTACTAAGACCAATGTTTAAATATAGAGTAAGTTTTACATAAATTGCACAAAAGGGCGAAGAGTTTGTAATACAGCCTATTACCTACGTAAAAATTCCATGCGCAGAATGATTCAGCACTTCGAGCTTTTAACAATAATTTATTAATATTTAAAAATGGTTGAATTTGTCAACTGTTAAGCAGGCTTTTAATTAAATTCATTTTTGTAATAATTGTTAAAGTCCAGTCTAAACGAAAGCACTTTCAGGTTTGTATCTTTACTCGCGCCCAGTTCACTGAATAAAGCGCCCATTGCGGCCTAACATAACGCCGTGACACCCTCCAATAAAAAAGGCACAACCAAAAAGCGACCTTCCAACGAACAGCTAATTCCTTTGACTGGCGCTCCAATGGTTGTACGCAGTTAATGGCGAACTTCCTACCCATTTCGCGGCTTTCCAGCTCGTCTTGTTTAGTCATCCCCCACTCGTTCTTACTAACATCAGCACGTCTTTAACAGTGCGCCAGTGGTATGGTGTACCTTTAATGTTTTCATACGGATTTGGTTTGCCAATCTCCGCCTGCGCATTACCTCATCGTCGATGGCCTTGAAAGTGGAGGCGAGCAAGTAAGTAAACTCCAACACCAGTGAGCTAATCTTTTCCAAGAGTTGAAAAATTCCCTGTAAAAATATAGTTTCTAACTAATTGCACCTGAAAATCTTCAGCGATAGAGAATTACGGCGCTTTCCGGCCGTAAAAAGCAACGACTTAGCACGGAGTCTAAAAAGTTGCTGTGCGCAAGAATGATGGCGTCAAGATCAACTGCATTACGAATGGTGACGCTCAAGGTGCGCCAGACAGGCTGAACAACCTATAGAACTTTGGTCAAAGCCAAAAGGGCGCAGAGAGCAACAAGCGCGCACCTCAAACGAAACGTAGTACTGTATTTCTCTAACCATGTGCTGCATCTCGCTCCTTTGAAGAGAGCAAAACTTTAAGAGCGGGTCAAGGCCTGGTCAGTGGGTGAGAGGAGAGGAGAGAGCAATCAGTCAATAGGGCCGACCATCAATGTGAGCATTCCTCCGACTGTAGACGCTGCTTAGAGCCCAACGACTTTTAAGACAATAATCGAGACGTCGAAAGTGCCATAAAAATTTGAATATACTAACAAAAAATAGTAAAGAATTTCACTTTCAAAACAACGAGCCGCCGTACAATACGCACCGGTTATACGCCTCAACTCGCTGGGCTGTGAAAATGATATTGAGCGGGCAGCGCGATCTGTAGCTCAACACAAAAATGTCCCAGCCGCACGCTCCATCTAGCGGCTTGTAGGGAACAGGAAAAACCAGTGTGCTGAGGAAAATAAGAAAGGGAATACATGCAACAAAAGAGCGTCGAGGCACTCGAGGGAAATGTCGTCCATCAAGCAGACGCTGCTTCTCAAGGCTGTGTCAACACAGCTTAACAGCGAGTGACGGTAGAGATGCTGAGCGGGACGTTCGAGTAACTCACTTAAGCGCAATCACACAAGTTCGTTAGACCAACGCAGCGAAAAGGCTCATAAACACATACAAGGCGACATCCAATAGATTGTGAGCAAAGTCGCCGCTGCCGAGAAGAATACAATCGTAGAGGACCTTATAGTCAAAAAATCACGTGGCAAAGTACTCCCAAGAATTGCAAACAACAGGACGACCTGAAAGTGGGACAGAAGTTTAAACTTTTTGAAAAGCAAATCAAGCAATTGTCTGCTGGTAATGGCGTTGGTGCGGTGTAGGACACCCCTCAATGCTTCCTCGCAGCCGAGATCCAGGCCTTGTTCATACCGTTTTTACATATTTTTAATAATGCAGAATTCTTCATTAAAAATAACTTTTAGCATTGCAGGCACGCACAGAAGGGTCGAGCAGCTGGCCGCTGGATCCACAGTTGTTCCGGATAAAGTTCACTATTTTGCCAATCCTCAGAACCTGTAATAAGAAAAGTTGCAAAGACAAAATGCGTAGCGGTAGAGGCGAACCTTCAGAGCAACTTCGCTGACGAGAAACCTCGGCACCATTTCTTTAATAAGTGTGTATTTCTCTATGGAAAATCAGTAAAAATAGTAGACAACGGTACTGATTAGAATACATGACACCGTTCCACATTTTCTCGTCCGTATAGTCGATCTTCTGGTCGGCGCACACAAAAAACTCGTTGAATGGGTCATCCAGAACTCCCTCGTGTATCCACTGACCAATCATATAATAAAAAGGTCGGGCTGCCTGAAAGGCGCAGGTAAGGCTAAATACACGCACTCAGCAAGCTGGTGAAAAGTAAAATTCACTTGCAATAGAATATTTTTTGCCATACTCACAACGACCGGATCGCCATGACTAAGAAAGTTGCTTAGCAGCGAGAGAAGAGCTCCTCCCCGCTGCCCTAAAATTTACAGACGGGAAAAAATAAGCTTCTCGGTGTGGGTCTGGCATAGAACAGCAACCCCTGGAAAGGCGACACCACTCCACCAAGTGGCGTAGCTTGAAGGCAGGCTCCTGCAACCACGCAGCCATCTGTCTCAGCGAGAGCCCTTGCCCTTCCGCACCCCGCATGCCTTCCAGACTAACAACATGGCGGTGGTACTGCGCGGTCTCGCTCTTCACCGCAGCGAACATGCCCTGAACGTCAAATATGAAGGCTTCCCAGCAACATGTGACACAGAAGGTCTACCTGAGCGACCAAACCCGCCTCCGGACAGCGAGTGACGTCATCTATGTAGAAATTGAGTTCTTTAAAATTCTTCCCCGACTGACACATGCGGGCAAGAAGTCGGGCAAGCGGTGTACGAATAGAATCCTCGCAAGGAACAAAAGTATCACAAAAATGGAGGAAAGAAAGGCCAAAAGAGTAACCGAAACGTGAAGAGAATAAGAATCTTCGCCTCGTGCGGTAAACTTTATATCTTTCCCGTCTATTCCCTGTAGTATGTATAACACATCACGCACTAAAAACCGTTCTGGTAATTCTTGAGCTTAAAAACAAAAAAGATAATAATTAATTTTCAAAGAAGTTATCAGATCCAAACTTGACTCGGAAGAGGAGTCTCTAATCCCAGCACCCTCAATATGAACAAACGATGGAACACTTCCGGAAGGATTTCTATTAGAGCAAAGCTCCTCAGGCGTCTTTGAAGAACCAAAATCAAACAAAGATCTGAATATAGGCTTCTTAGCCTATTTAAAATGTTAATAAATTAATTTTGGGAATTTAGTTGGATATACATGTTAAAATCAAACAAATCAATCTAAAAGAACTATAAAAAAATTAAAAACCCACCACTAAAGAACCGCGACGAGAAAGAATTTCTAACAGCGATAATATTGATGAGCGATTCTCTAAAAACTTCTACATAAAGAATTAAAAAAGGCTAAAAATCAGTTTAAAAACTTTAAAATAGTACAGTCGAGCATAATTTTTCAAAAAGAATTTGAAACTTTACTAAATCTCGAGGGGGATTGTGACGTGCGACTAGCGAAAAAAATAGCTTATAGACGGGTAAAAGACAACTTTGTTTAAAAAAACCCTCATAAAAATTTATTTTAAATAAAAAAAAGAATTTAAAAAAAAGAAAAATATGATAAAAAGGTAGAATTGTATTAAAATAGATTTAAGACTCATATAAAGTACGAAATCTCTCGAGAGCGCCTAAGGTAAGGCTTTCATCCTCCACAATATTCGAGCTTGAGAGGTAGCTTATTATATATTGTTAGAGATATAAGAGTCTTAAGAAGAGAAGCACCGACCTTGAAAAAACTCTCAAAGCGAAATTTGTTTCAAAGGATACATCTGCTATAAGTGTTAAAAATTTAAGAATTATATTTTAGTAAAAAAATACTTATAAACCATTTGCATCAGCTAAAAGTAAGTTTCGAACCAGTCTTTCTGCTAGCAAGGTGATATCATGTGAAGCCTGACAGGAAAATCTCAAAGTCATAGCCTATCTTTCCTTTTCAGCTTTTTTAACTGAAGGATATTGGAAAGACAATAGCCGAGCACTGCACGGCATCAAGCACGGAAACGCTCGTAACAGGAGTGGCTGAGCTGTTTTCATTTGTACACCATAAAATTTTTACTGGAGAGAAATATAATATTGTTTACCATTAGTGTTGCCGTCTATGCAAAAAGAATCTTTTTTTTAATATTTACTTGAGGACATTATTTTTTTAACTTAATAAGTTATATTTGTCATACTCTTGTTATAACTGCACTAAAGTGATTTTTTTGTATAAGCACCTATCCTCTTTATTTGGCTGATCTAGTATAGCAAAAGTATCAAATTCCGACTGTATTTCAATTTTTTGCTCATAATTTCATTAATTGTTTTCAATGTTGAATATAACTTTAACTTTATATAAGGTAAAAAAAACTTTACTATATTTAAACTTTTTATTGGAATCGTTTAGTTCAACGGAAGCTTTGTATTAATAAATCGTTCAGTCACAATTTAACGTAAGGCTTCCACTTTTACAGTGGCGACTAAATTAGCTTTTTATCCTCGTTATTAATATAACGGTACGTATAGTTATTCCCTGTTAAATAACTAAGGCAGACTAATGCGTATACTTTCATAACCCCCTGAGTGCCGAAAAAGTCTTGGAATTCTAAAATATAAAATGATATTTTATATTATATATTTAAGGTAGTTATGATTGTTATTGTCTCTCTCAGTCTCCTTCGGTCTTTGTTAAACTTACGGCTCAACTGACAGTAATGTGTATAACTATATTTTTAAACCAATAAGCTTGCTTTTTACCGTTTACGTTAAAATACTTTTAATCCAAGAGTTAAGCAATTTGAGGGTTCTGACTAATGTAAAATAAAATTTTATTTGTAACTAACATAATATATTTTCTATTAAGCGCTTCTAGTTGAAAACTTGCATTTAAATTTTTTCAAAACTTCTGCTTACTTAATAGATTAAATGTTACGAAGAAAAATTTTATTCTTTTTCTAGAGGCTCTAAAGTTGACTAAGTGTAGTACAAACAGTAATAGATCAATGATTTATCCTGCACTATTAAGTATACTACCTTCCTTTCGTTATGGTACCCTATTACTTGAGGTTAAAAACATAAATTTAATTATTTGATATAAACGAGGAGCACTTTGCAAAAAAAATTGGAAGCTACATTACTTGTTACAAGGATTTAAAAGTATTACGGAATACCTAAATTAGATAACAGTGTAAAGGCACATGGATGAAGAGGGCACAATTTTCGTTGGTCCTGCCATTTCTGCTGGTTAGTATTAAGCCTGGGTTTGTTTACAATAAAGCTTTTTGTTGTTGCTGAAAAATTGTTTTTTATACTTTATTAGTAACTACCTACTAGTGCTAACCTTTAAAACGTGACTAACAGTTCTATAATAAGGATTTGTATAAACCATTTAGATTTTAAGCGAACTAACTCAGTAACAAGAGTAAGATTTTTGGTGAATGAGCCTATTCGCAGTTAAAGTGTATTGAGGGAAGAAAGCTAAGCTAAAATTAAACGTAGGACAAGAAAAAGCTAAAACTTGCAATAATTCACGATAGTATGCTTGCTAGAGTTAGTAGATAATATGGTCAATTATGTACTACTTTAAATTGCTTAATGTTTATAACACGTTAAGTTCCTAAGACTTGGATCTTTAACATGAGGTTATGAAGCTATTGCACCATCACATAATATTGCTAGGAAAACAGATTAACCTACAGATTCTAATAGCCTAAAGAATAATAATCTCAAATTTCGATTTAGAGAATCATACCTGAATATTTTTAGAAGAGCATAAGTACCACGTAATAAACGCTTTTGTTATCTCTACGTTAACTACAACTTAAAAGTATCACTTTAAGTTAAGATTTTTTGCTATTATTGTAATCCAGCTCTGTGAAAAGCTTTAAACAGTATTATTATCTATAGAAATAACTTTAACTTTACATTAGTTTTTTTTGCTGCACTCGTGGCTTCAAAAGTGTAAAGTAGAGTATCTAATAACTGATGCCTTTTTTTAAAGATCAATATAAGGCAACTGTAAGATCGCTGTTTATATTAGATTACTATGAAAAAGTGGGCAAGTTTTGGCATTCGGCTGATATAAATACTTGGTTTAATCATTAATAAAAAACTGTCTTCTTCAGTACGACTTCAATTAGTTTTCAATTATACCTAAATAGATGTCAAATACTCAAAGATTATAGTCTCTGTTCTCCCTGCTTTTTCAGTTTCCTCCTCCGCAGATGGTCCCTTTCATGAAAATTGATTTATTAATCAACTTTTAACTTGTAAGACAAACTCCACAAGGAGATGCCACACAAACTTGAGCCTTGCTTGGCTTTTCTGCCATTTTTTTGTGAAAGTCAAAAATCCAAAAATATTTTCACGAGAAATCATCTAACCAAATATTTCGTAATTAATAGCATAGACAAACAATCGATTTTTTTTTAAAAAGCCAATTTTTAAATATATAAAACAATTTTGTGAAATATACTTTTAAATTTAAAAGTTTTATAAAGCCTTGCATTACTAATAAAAATTTATCTTCCTCCTCCTATCCTGTACTTAAATTTCAATTCACAAGGAATGAGCAGAAATGCGGTTTATTACAAATTAAAGCTGTTACAAAAAAAAAACGTTTCACGGTTCTATATAGTTATGTATATCCAACGCCCAAGTAACTTTAGTCCATTAAACGTATAGCCCCTTTTTCTATATCTCTGAAGTAGTCGCTAAACTTAACTTACTACTAACTAAACAATGTGGATCGAAAGCAAATTTTAAGTAAAGATGAATAATTCTTATAAATAAACATCAATTGCCAGCTAAAACTAGTTGCACTAGACTTCAAAATTTGGTTCTGCCTTGTAAACGATTTTACTACTTCCTTCCAGCTTGAGCAATGCGCTGGGAGTCTGCAAAAATTCACTAAACATAAAAATAGCGTGACAAGTGCTTGAGCAGGTGCCATGGTGTGCTAGCTTGTTCTGCAAAATTTTGTAGCAGCTTGTACCACCAAATCTCGCACGGAATGAGATATGGCCAACTTGTTATAGGCCCTGCAGGAAGTGGAAAGTCTACTTACACTAGCACTATACAAAAACATTGTAAGGACCTACGTAGACTCACTTATTGCGCCAATCTGGATCCGGCTGCAGAATATTTTGATTACGATGTTGCGGTAGATGTTAGGGATTTAATAAGTGTTGAAGATGTCTTTGAAGAATTAAATTATGGTCCTAACGGTGGACTTATTTATTGCATGGAGTAACAATTATTTTAAATACTTCTCTATTTATCTTGTAGTAGAGCTTATAAAGCTACTTATTATAGTTAACTGGTGGAAGCCCTCTTTGTTTGCTATCTTTATTAGGTACCTTCTGGAGAATATTTCTTGGCTTACAGAAGAAATTGGTGATTATGAAGACGATTACTGGATATTCGACTGCCCGGGTATTTTTTTACGCCTTAATTAGTATCTGTTCTGTTAATATTATAAATTAAGGACAAATAGAACTTTATTCGCATTCTACAATAGTGAGAGAAATTGTGGAACATTTGGAACGTATGGACTTTAGAATATGTGGTATTATTTTTTATCTGGATCTTTTTTTTGACTGAGTTTTTTTTTACACTCACGTTTACAGCTGTGTACCTTTTGGATTCTCAATTTATTCAAGATCCTTCTAAATTTTTTGGTGGCTGCCTTTCCTCCATGTCCGCTATGATTCGACTTGAACTACCACATGTTAATATTTTAAATAAAATGGATATAATAGGCTCGGGAATTCGTAAGAAAGAGCTGGAGAGGTTTTTATATTTTACTATATACTTAGCTAATTGAGTTAATTGTTAAACTAAAAATTTTTTTAAAAAATCTTTTAAGTAGCTTTATATAAGATTTTTATTCTATTAGTTAACTTACTCGATACTACTATTTAAGTTTTGCTTATCCTATATACTTTTCTTTATTAATACGTTAAAAATACAAATGTTTTGCTTATTTTTTTTTTAAGTTTTTTAGCACCGGACCCTCGGCTTATTTCGGAAGAGTTATCCAACGTAACGGAGCGTTGCAGAAAATTGAACGAGGCCATCGCGGATCTTGTTGATAGCTACAGTCTGGTTTCCTTTATTCCTCTGAACAGAGAAGATCCTGAAAGTGTTTATCAAGTTCTTCATCATATTGATTTTGCAATTCAGTATGGAGAAAATTTGGAACCGAAGGAAACTTTATATTGTGTTTGTCTCTTTGAGTTTATTTACAGTTAATTTTCAAGAAAAATCTACTGAATTTTTATTTAATAGAGCGATGAACAGCAAAGTAATAGAAATTAAACTAAATTTCTTTTCTTTGGAGGATTAGTGGTGACTGCTGGACATTATACAATTAATAAGTTGTTCATTTTTTTAAATTTTTTGGTTTTACCAATCCGACATTGCTTGGTGCTGAGCATAAAAAAATTTTAAAAATAATTAGGAGACACTGTACATATCGTAATTAAAAAATATATATATAAAGATTGGCCTAGACTTTATTTTAAAGGTTAATAGGTATAATAAGATTTTAGGCGCCACTGTACCTATAATAATAAAAAATGTTTAGATCAAGTTTGGACCAAATATATTTTAGGGGTTGATAGGAATAAAAAGATTGTAGTAATGAAAAAGGAAAGACTAAGTTTATAGTGGCTATCAACTCAAGTCATATAATCCCATTCCAGTGTACCTTTCGGGTTCTGGGCAGATTCGGAAACAATATACTTCTCTAGCATAGTACTTTCTACGAATTTTTTAATTCAACCGGCATTGACAAAGTTTTATTAAAACAGCTGTTAACTATATCTGGGTAAAAAAGGGGATGCGATTGTTGCAAGGAATTCTGTCACGATGTGGACCAGTAAGTCGATTTATAATAATTAAAATATTGGAGTCGTTTATAATACCGTCGGTGGTGATTGAAATAGTAACAAAAGTCCTTAACGTCATAAACGCGCTCACTGCGTAGCATCGTAGACTACCTTAAGCTAGCACTTTTTTGAATAGGCAAGATCAGAGGAATAATACAGCGTAGCGGTACAATTAGCCTCAGGCAAGTACAGTAACTTCCATATATTCAACTAGAAACGCAAGTTGATAATCTGGAGTGCGTACCGAATTCGTGCGCGTAGTTCGCTTCTTACAGGAGCACTTCGGAAAGCTCTTGTCATAAACCCAGCTGATACCGCGGAATCACCTTTTTAATCCCTCTTTCTCCTTTTTGCATCCCATGTGGGTAACAAGCAAAGTATTAACCCTATTTACCTAAATTTTTATCAAAAATTGTTAGAGTAAGAATACATTGCTAAGGTCGAGGGTATATTATAATAAACTCCGTGTTTACGGTTAGACCGCTTAAAAAAGCTACCAAAATTTCCATTACTGGTATAGATTTCCGTTATACTATGTAACGTACTAAACGCTATTAACCTAACGAATAACATATATATTCCTGTACACTGGGATTGTAAGGGTGACTCAAGCGTACAAATTTATTCTTTAGGCAGAACTACTCTTATACGAAAAAAAAAAAAGCTACTTTCATGTTTTACCACCTAGGATTAGTTAGTGATGAGGATGCCCATTCCTATTTTATTATAGCTGCTTATTTCAAAACTATTTTACTGAAAAATTCAGCAGAGTTTTACCAGAAATTTTACAAAGGGGCTCTTATAACGTCTAAGCTCAAGCACCACTAGGCTTAAGGAGGGCCTATTAAAATCAAAGAGAGGGCTCTGGAGCTAATGATGAAAAGAAATGTCCAGTTGCTTTTCAGGAGTATTATAACCTTAAAAAGTTTTATCGTAAATGCTGCTTTTGACCCAAAATATGTCTTAGACAAAGGTTTAGTCATTACAGCTGCACTTTATTATAGTTGCTTACTCCGGGACTACCTGAAATTCATTAGAGCTTTTGTAAGAAACTTAATAGGGTCTCTGGAAGTGCAAATACTTAAAAACCACGAAGGGAACTTTATTGATCAAAGCGAGGGCACTGTGAAGCTAATAAATAGTGTCCATATGTTTTTAAAAAGTTTTAAGTGTTTATGCTGCCTTCTTACCCAAAAATGTCAATAATTTGTAAACATAAAGAATAAAAAAATGGATGAAGCGAAATAACAAATTAAAAAAAAGGTGTTAATTTTAATTTTCTTAACAAACGACAAACCTTTTTCCGAAATAATATACATTTAACGTGAAGACCAACCTTATTTGGAAGGTTCTTGGGGTGTTGTACTTTCTATATTTGCACAAAACTTAGCACAAATTACAAGAATAAATTTGTGACTTATTGCGTAAAAATTCTTAAAATCATTTTTTCACAACTTTAAGGCCCCTGTAGATTATTTTATAATTTTTCTGGCAGTAGCTGCTCGGAAGTAAAGTTTTCAGATCTAATAAAAATTACGCCAAAAAAAAGGCTTCGCCAAGCTTTAGGGTTACCTCTAACCTACGTTTTTCCTTTAAAACCGAACTCAGCAGCTTAATCTTTCAATTAAAATTTACTGCTAAACACTGAATTTGAAAAACCGACGAGCCCGTTTACGTTAGCTAACTAATCAAAGCATAGCTTTTCAGTTGGCCATAGCAAAAAAAAACAAACAAACAAGAAACTACTCGCATGTCCAACACTCCCGGTTGCATTTTCTGCTAAAAATTAGCTAGAATACCACTGCTTAGCAGTTAACTTCAGGCACGAATCCTGAGAGAAGCCCTAGCAGTGGGTAGGCATCGATTGCCACGTAATAGAACTCATGCCGAAGAAATTTTGTAAAGTACTGCAATTACATTGTAAATTTTGGGTCTACTGAGCCTTCGACTATAAACCTAAGAAATAAAGTTCGCGCCCATTGTAAATTGGTGTAAACAGTCCCTTTCAATTTCTAGATTTTTTAGCAGGGGTTAAAAAATGGACGTTAACTTGTACGAAAAGCTTCTTGAGGGAGGAAATTAGCGATGCTTATATGATAGCGGTGAGGGTGACATTGATTATTTTAGCTTGATAAAATTTTCTACGAAAAAGATGCGACAATAACTAGACAAAAATCATTTTACAAGCAGTTGCTTCAATACTCGAGCGAGCAAAGAACATCTAGAGATGCGTCGCAGTGTTGTCACAATAGATAATAAATTATTATTATCTGTACACTTCACTCTTTTTCTAGTGGTAAAACGTTATTCCTTTCAAGTCAATGGTTCTTATTCTTAGGCATAGCCGCCTAGGGGACATGCTATTTAACTATCACTTTTATTACTTCCTTGGGTGGTTAATATCTACATTTTATGTAAATTTATATGTAGCTGCTCCCGCACGCTCGTAACCTTTTTATTGAACATTACATTGCACACCGAAAGTAATAAGTATATATGCTGCAACACTTTATTAGGGCAAATACATTGAGCTATTTTTGTCTCTGTCCGCCCCCTGTTTTTAAAAGTTTGTTAAAAAAGTTTGCGATTGCCTCATTTTCATCAACGCTGGGTGAATAAACTTGGGATTCAGAGAAGACTCCCTATATTAAATCAACCAAAAGCAGTAGATAAACTTATATAAGTTATAGTAAACTGTTAGAAAACTTGCAATTCTCTCTTAATTGTTTAACCTAATATTAAGTTTATATATATACCTCCTTAGAGTCAACAGATGCACGTGAACACCCCCGAGACGATAAACGGTCTTTTAGAAAAATTATAAAGCATAACAATAAGAAAGCTGCTCTATATCTTTTGGAAAGAGACCCTTTTTAGCAGCATCAAGGAGCGCGTATTGCTGCTCTAAGAAAGATTGCTCGTCTTCAGCCTGAACTAGCACCGGCGGAGATGGGCACGCCTCTAAAGGTCGTGGAAAGACGGATTCAAATGAACGATCCGGAGATACTAACTTTAGCGAATCAAAAAGAGCCTACGAGGACGAGTGGTTATTTTTCTTAAATAAACTCAAATTGATAATCTTGACCACCTGTATTTTGTTTTTGGTATCCCAGCCCGATGGTATAAAGACGGCCTCTACATATCATAATAAACTGTGTAAATAACTTTATATGTAATACTTCTTGTGAGCTTGATAGATATGCATCATAATAATAATAATAACCTCTGTCCAAAAAGTTAGGAGGAGTATTAAAAGGTGTATCAAATAACTGATGCTTGAGGTACTCCAACAGTAGAGAGCAATTAATATTAGCAATAGAAGACGTGTAGATCAGAGCAGCCCCGACTGGTGACGTGATAAACGAAAACAAATAATTAGTGAAAAACATCCAATCAAAGTTCTTTATTAAAAGTTAGCCAATAAGATGAAAGTTTGAGAGGGGCCAATCTTAAAAAAAATTATTGGCAGTGACGTGTTCTTTACTTTTTAAACAAAAGAGACGGAGATGCCCCTGCAGATAGTCCCAACTTTCGTCCGTAAGCTCCTCAGCGGCAGTAGCTGTATCGGCCTTTGTGTGACAAAATTTCAAAAATAAAGCAGAAATGGATTTTATAAAGAACTACAAATGATAATTTGCGTGCCATTTAATAAAAAAAAATTATTATTATTAATATAACTTTGGTGCAAACTACGGCTAAAGGGACATCAAGGCTGAGTTCTAAGGTCTTAGTTTCATGAGGATCCGCCAAAGATGAACCTGTTAACGGCTTACAAGTTATCATTATAGTACAAAGATCTTATATTAACTGCAGTTTAATATAAAAAAAAACATAAATTTTGCCTCTCAATTTCTTAGTATACTTTAACTAAGCTTACTCCAGCTATTAATCTTATAGCAATTGCTGCGGTTGTTTTTTTATGTTTTCTTTTAATTTTCTTTGTTCTTTTTTCTCAGTATTAAATATTTTTATAAAATTAAAAGTAAATCCAAAATTTATATAATATTTACTAAAGTAGTAGTACAAAGAAGAAATAAAAAGATAAAAACTAGATTAACTTGTCTTTTTCGATTCTTTATAAGCCTCGGAAAGATAAACCAAAAGTTTCTATTTTTACCTCAAAAGTAAAATATGTAAGTCACATCCACTTGAATAGAATAGATTTATACAAGAAAAGTAAACCTCGAGAGTAATAAAAACTTCCCAAGTTTTCTCAAGATCCACAATTAATACAATATAAGGATCCGTAATGTAGTTCTTGTTAAACATCATTTTTAATAGAGACTTGTATTGATCACAGGGCTCAAGAGACCACATATTTACAAGGCGGAGTTCTATTACACAATTATGAAAACGATCTTCTATTAAGAGAAGATATTAGAAGCACCGTCCTCATCTACGGGGACAGGTAGAGTATAATATTTTAAGGGTACACTCATTTCGTCTTTTCCAGATTTATTATTTCTTAGTTTGTTTATCAAAGTTTTATTTCCACAATTTTTATAGCCTTTTAATATTAAGACAAAAAAGTTAAAAAAGGATCTGATGGAGGTATAGGTAAATAAAATTTAATTTTCCTTATATAACAGTTATGTAATAAAAAATAGTGTTAACAAAGTTATAAACCTAGAAATAATATATTTTTAATTTGTTTTAGATTTGAATCAACTATAGATTCCCGAAGTAAAGAACTCCACAGGCCCAGAGGTTTTTCCTCAGTGGAAAGGGGATGCGAAAGTGAAACACTTGAAAAATTAACTGGCATTATTTTAGCCTCTATTTTAATCACAGTATATGGGCTCAAATATGCTACTTAATTAAAAAAATATATTTATATTTAGTTAAAAAACCTGTAAGGTCAATTTTGCAAACCTAACCACCTCATGACTATATTACAGCTTAGCGAACTAGTTTAAAAAGAAATATATAAGCATACCTAACTGGCATCGAGCAGCTTTGATAATATTTTCTGTCGCAATTTCAAGCGTTATACTAAAGTACGATATTGGCCCCTAGATAAAACTGAAAAAGAAACTTACGAATTGAACACCCACCTATTTACTTATTTTGAGTGTAACCCTAGTGCAGTTAACTACCTTGATTACTTAGTATTTACCCCTCGAACCAAAGTGCTAAAGATACGAGGGCGCCCAAGAGCGAGAGGTTAAGTGATGATTTATTGTCAGCTGCAGAATCCCTTGCACTACTTTTTAGGGTGAAAACTATGTCCTTTAGGGTATCTATAGCGTGGGGCTAAATTTGTTAGAAAAACAGTGAAACAGGCGAGGAAGAGATTTAACTTTGTTTTCTGGGTTTAGGTTTCATATAAATATAGTTCTTTTCATATTTCTCAACTTTTTGAGGGCTCATTTTGTTCGAAGCTAATTTTTTATTTCGAACAAAAGTACAGAATAGCAGGTTCTTATTTTGTTTAACTTTATTGCTAACTGCAAGAAGGACTGTAAGTAGCCTTATGGTTTTTTACTTCACATGTTTTAAAAATATTATGTTTAATGTTATTATGCCTCTATAAAAATTTTAGAAAAAATTAACAAAAAATTTAGCGAAAGCTTTAGCTGGTAAACTAATTTTTTTTACTATAATTTTTAAAAACAAAACTACGTATATTAAATAGTCATTACTATCGCGCTGTGAAGACAAAAATCAGTTACTGGCACTAGATTTTTACTCTCTATGACTCAACCTTGTGAAACAAGTCTTGACCGTATTAGACAATAGTAGTTGTAAGAGAAAAGAATACAATATGTAATTTCTCACAGACGTTAAAGTTTACTTCTACGATAATTTCCCTGTAACTACGTCAACAACAATTATTAAGGTAAATGTAATATTTAAAAAACGTGGATTTAGTGTAGAAATCTTTTCCTTTATTGCAAGAGGAAAAACCTGTTGCTTCTTTATTATTGTTGATCTTTCTATTTACACTTTACCAAAAAAAACAAAAAATAAAAAAGCAAAGTTTCAAGTTTAGCAACCATCAAGCCATCCTTATGTTTATATTTTTAGTATTATTCCAATTGAGTAAATTTCAAGCAGTATAACACAACTGGGCGGTGAGAGAACAATTAGGTGTAATTTCCAAGTCAGCCTTTGAGTTTATTTTGCGGTAAGGTGTATGTAGGCCTAATAATGATTAACTACGCTTAACAGCGATCCAATTCCGTAGTAGACTTGTATAACTATTGATTTATCTTGATGAGTTTATTCCTCTAATTACTTATCCACCTTTTTCTTTTAGATTTATGACAGATACTTCTTTGTTTTTCGGAGCTGCTCCCGTAATTATTTCAGAAATTATTAGAAGTGAGGCAGATCTCATGCGCGGAATTGGTTAAATTAATTGTTTATGTGTTGAACATAATTTAAAACTTCTTTCTCTGTTTTTTTTCCTAGGTGACTTGAAAAAAATTAGTTCTTATGAAGAGTGTCTTAGTGTTAATGATAAACTGAAAAAGAATTTGCAGTTTTTGTATGAGAACATTAACGTAACATTAGTTTCTTTATTGAAATTGCAAACTCCATTTCTTAGTTAAGAAATTAGAGAGCGCTTCTCAGGAACAATTTACTCGGACTCACAAAGATCACATACTAAAATTGGCCGAGCAACACAGACAACAGTTAAAGAGGTGACAGTCATTCTTTTGCACTATTAAGTAGGTTTGTCTATTATCCTGTGCTAGCTTGCAGCTGACACTTAGACATACCTATGCTTACGTAAAAGAAAAAATTGAGGTTTTTTTTTTAAAAAACTTTATATTATTTTTCTAAGCTCTTAGCACGCATTTAAAAGCGTGAGAGCAATATGAAGCGTTTGAGTCTTTTGGGATGCGTTTCTGGGGAGACAACATCTATAGGAAACATGTATAATTCTTTCTTTTAATATTTATTAATCTTTTATATGCGATGTTGTGCGCTTCTAATAAAGTGAGTTACAGCTTAACTAGCATAAAACGGGGTGTGATAGAGCGGGATAGTTAGCGGGCAATAGGAGAAATTAAACTGTTTTTGCTTGCTAGTTTGTATTTTTTAAAGGAACAAAAATGTCTCTTTGTCCTCTGTGGAATCTACCACAGAACTGATGAGGGAGGCCAGAAGGAATCTCGCAGGGCAGATTCAGCAAAGCGCGCAGGCCTTAGATGCAGCAGGTTTCATTTTAATTTTTTTTTTTAATTTTAATCCCCACATTTTTTTAAATTCCTCGCAGTGTCATCTTCTAACCTAACAACCAGCATCAACAAGGAGTACAGCGAGTTCCGATCCGTTATGCGCTTCAGTAAAGCGCTTGTTTCTAAGCTTCTAAGACGCGAGGTCCATCTCCGTGCCCCTACGAACTTATGTATGACTTTCTGGGTATATTAACCAATTCAGACCACAAACAACATTCTCTTTGCCTTTGCCTTTGTGGTGTTTGCGCTGACTTGCATCTACATCTTGAAAAAACGATTGGCTTATATTCGCTCTGCCGTCGCTAATGTCTTAGAGTTGTGTACTTGCAAGTTTACTATATTAATTGTAATAATGGTCGCTACTATACTTTTATCGTGGGTGTGGGCATTTTTTATAAAGAAAAGGAAAATGAAAAAATAAAAAATAAAATTATCCTCCCCGCTTTTTAAGTTGTCTAATATAAAAATATTATAGGAAAAAAAACATTATTAAAATAAATAGCCTTTTTATTAGCATGTCAATAATAACATTTTAACTGCGACACATTTTAAAATACGTACTGATCGAACAGTTGCTAGCTGTTCAAAAAAAATCAGCACTCGCACGAATTAAAGGGAAAATTAATACATTTTGAAATATCTCCTCAGTGATTACAAATTAAAAAAAATTATAAATTTCTGGTAGCGTCAGTCACAATTCACGAGGTAGATAACCGTCAGTGGTGGCACCGGCCGAACCATCAGGGCCGGTGGACAGAACATTGAGGGTGTTGATACCCGCCCCGCGGGGAGAAGGAGTGAGCGGTGAGGACGACGGACTGTGCCCCCAGAGGGATTCCAAAGAAACCGGCGACTGCCTGTGACTTTGGGTAGAGGGTATTGCAAAGCGAGGGCTTCCCGACCAGTTCCGCGCTGTCGATAAAGGATTGAGGTTGGAAGTGGGCATTCGCAAGCCGTCCGAAGGGATCTCCGCTTGTTGTTCTGCGGAACACCCATTAAAAAGTTGCATAAGGCTTCTGTGCCTCTCGCATATGAATTGAAGCTGCCCGTACAGCTGCGAGTTCGCAGAACCTGAAAATAATCAATGTAGTCATAAAATATGTACTCTAAAGAAAAAAGTCTATCACCGCACGACTGCTGTTGGTGGTAAATTTCAGAACTAGTTTGCGCGTAGAGAACCTTCAAACTTTCGAGTTCATTCCAAATTTGATGACGCAGATTTGTAGAACTCGAAAAGAGTGTAGAAGTTATCCCGACAGGTTTCAACGAAGCTAAATCACTTTCTGGAAGTTGTATGCATTTTTTTAAAAAAAGATGCGAGTCAACAATCATAAGTTCATTACGGAGGTTAATAGGTGGGGTGTACTCCTCGCCGGGTTCAGAGAGAGAAGGAAAGCGCGGTTGCACGTTGAGCCGAAGGGAGTCCATCTTACCCACGTGGCAGGCAATCGTCTTTGGTCGAAAAAAGGAAGCTGGGAGATTGCGAACACGTAGGGGCCTACTATCCGCATCGACTACAGTGTTCTCCTGTAACCCTTTGTAATCCCCTTTCTCGTCGTTAACTTTCGCTGGAAAACCAACAGTTATAAAGTTACAAATACTTTCTTAATAAAAAAACTTTTCGAATGACAAGAGGAATAGTCACCGTCAAAGCGGTAGTCAGTCCATTGCTCCTCTTTGGCAATATTAGATTCACTAGAGACTCGACGTAAAGCCCGTCTAAAGTGGTCATCCACGGATCTTAATAAAAAAAACTCTTTTATTAGTTTCAACATAAATATATATCATGTTGTTCTTTACTTGGATATTTCAGAGGCATTCAGATTTTCTAAGCTTGAAACCTTATCTACAGGGCTGCTCTTAAAGTATAAGTGACGAACCATAAAATATTAGGAATTTAAAAAAGCCTTTTACAAAAATAAAATTCAAAATACCTGAAGAGAGTCCACTTTAAAGTTGTAAGGTACAGTTAAAATGTTACGAGTAAAAGGATTGTATACTTCATTTTCTACGAGTTGATCAGGTAATCGGGCCAACTCAGTCATATTTGTAGCGTTGTCGCTCAGAAAAACGTTGTTGTAAGAATCCTGCTGACTAATAAAGCCAGGACTCAACTCTGGGGTATTAATATTACTGTTTACTTCTGTTTTAAAAAAGGAATTTTGAGTATCGGCCCAAGAAGGTAAAGCAGTGGATTCTGGTAATAAGCCGTATTCACTATTTCTATAAAGAATTCCTGCATCAAGCGATTGATTTGTCTAAATATATAACGGAGATTATGATATGTTTATGTAAATAATAATAATAATAAAAATAAGCAAGGACAAGCTAAGTACCTCTCTCTTAGCAAAATGCATTCCTACAATCAAGTGAAAATGTACTATTTTTAACTATTTATAAAATACGAAAAAGAGAAAAAAGGGTTCTAATATTCTTTTTGTAAGCTCAATAAAACCTTAAGGCCACCATAGCCGAACAGTTTAAGGTAAGGCTCCAGAAAAATGCTTTGCAAGACAAAATACGAAAAAATATACTTACACAACACGTTCCATTGGCTTTATAGAAAATATCTTGTTCGTACCCAACCAAAAGTGAGCAAGCCATGCAAAGTTAGTTCGTGATGTTAGCAGTACAATGAAGAGGCCAATCAATTTTAATAAAGAAGGTATTTAATTTATCAAAGCGCTTACGTAATTATATAACATTATCTTATTAACGGAATGCGTAAGACAGAGTAATTGGTTAAAAAAAGATGGGGTGGAGTGAACAATAACAAAATAAATTTTTAGCTCTGGAGCATTTTTTAATTATTATTTTTTATGTTTAAAAAAATATCTAATTTAAATTTTTTTTAAAACCTGCAATAAATTCTGGTTATCTCTTGAGTTAAGCAACATGTCGCAAGAACCGGAACTGTAGATTTTTTGTTTTTATAATTTAGAAACTAGTTCCATTAGAATATATTAAAACTGGCATTACCTTTATTTTCAATGGACGGAATTTTTGTAAATAGTAGTTTATTCTCTCGTGGTCAATTAACTTCATGAACGCCTTTTTATATTGGGTGTGTTCCTATTTGAATACAATGCTTCCAGGGAGATAGTATTCTTTAAAGAACGAATCGTTTTGTTATATAGTATATAAGTTTTTCTAAGTGCTTCTTTTAGAAGTGCAGACAACCTTGAAAGTTAAAGGTGGCACCCATTGTATTATAATGTTCTTAAGACCTCTCATTATCACAAATTATTTTTCATTTTTATTCAATTTTAACTCAGTTTTTTCTTGTTAATCTCCTATCTTTTTATTTTTCTTTGGGCATATCCTTCTTTAGTATTTGTTTTTTTAATAATTGTTGGTCCTGTCTTCTACTTTACAATACCTTTTTGGCTTTTTGTTATATAAACCTAACTACGCATAGTTGGCATAACTTATAAACAGTAAGTTTACTAGCCCATCCATTTTTAAACCTAGAATCCTTTAGGAGATGTCATGTATATTAAGATGATAGTAAATGTTGTATTTTAAATCCGAAAGAGTAGGTTAAAAAGTTTTACAAATGTATAATTATTAAAATTTTCTTGCCTCTTATTTTACCGCAGGCATTAAACATTGTTAAGTTTGGCATGTTTATATTATTATTGGTTGGGCGTACTTACAATATATTTACCTTGAAAACGCATGTATAATATGGAAGGAGTTTTGTGCTAAATGAAATAAAAAACCGTACTATTTAAGGATTGTAAAACTCGGTCCTGAACTCTCCTATTTTTAAGTCCTTCTTTTCCATCGTTTAATAATTTTTTTCTTGATCGGAGAGCTAGAGTTAGCTGGGTGTCATCCATCGTTCCTTATTCTTCCCTGTTCGTAGATATTTAATTGCTCTGTTATTGCCCCTTTATTATGAATAAGCTTACATACTCGTTATAGTATTCTCGAAACTATATTAATATTAATTTAAAAACTTTAAAGTTATTCCAATAAAATTGGTGCACACCTATCCTATTTATTTATTTATCAAACATGGTACTATGTTTAGAATTTTCCCTCTTTGGACTTTTGGACTTTCTTAATTTTAACCTAGTAAACTGTTATGTATAGTAAAACATCACAAGTTCTTAAAGGTCTGAGGAGAACTATAAGTTTGTTAACAATAGTTTTAATAAGCGGTGAAAAAAATTTTTTTTATTGTGCTTTGGTAAATAACCTAAAGCAACAAGCTAAGTTTTATCCAAGCAAAAAATATTTTGTATGGAAGTTTTTTTTTTTTTCAAAGTTTGTTTGGAAGTGAGTTACTTTAAAAGAATTTTTGACCCTCTTGGATCTTGTTTTCAAGGGGAGAGGCTTCCGAGCCAAATAACTTTATGATTTTGCGTTTTGTAAGTTTTTTTGATAGATTCGCCTAGGCGTGGTCCCATGCTGAGGCATGCTGGGATGATTCACCACGCAAAATTGTTCCTGAACATTATCAGTTTTATGCTATATATATCTGTATTTTATTATTAACAAAAAAGGGGGGACTCAGATTTGCGGTTTTTTGTTAGTTTGTTTATAGTTTTGAATACCCAGTCTATAGGGCTAAAACCGAAAGGAGATGAAAACATATTAACAAGGCAAGCCATTTAAAAAATATTAAGCTTTCACTGATGCCTTTAAACAGTATACTGAATTTAAGGATGGAGTTTAGATGCCAAGGAATCATATATATTAATTATGCTATCTGCTGTCGAGTATACACGGTATTTAACTTTCACTGGGTGCAACGATATGGCTGGTAAAAATTGCTGTCCACAGTGAAATGTAAAAAGCTTTTTAGTGGATTTTTAGAATGTTAACGTTACTATTCGATAGGATGATAGCTAAAGAAAGAAACATTCACAGCATCCCACGATTCTGGCTATTCCCCACGGAAAAATTAAGCACAAGGAAAACCTCTAAATAAAGCTATGACCTTAAGTGTTCAATGCACTCGCGACATTCCAGCACCAGTCTCACTATCCTCTTTGACATTCATTTTCACAAAACCTCTTGAAGAGCTCTTTCTGGTGGTTACTGTCATCGCCAAACAAGATGTTAAAACTTGATACCTTATAAGGTAAGTAGAAAAATAACAGTGGCCACTCTCCATCGATCTGGAAAGAGTGGAAAACTAAGAGTGGCGTTAACTATAAGAGTGAGAGTTTTATGATCGACTTAGGTAAGTTTTTAAGTATAAGGTTAGTTATGCCATCAGGTCCTGGTGAATTATTAGTTGAGAAGGCGTTAATAATTGGTTGTACCTCTTCGGTTTGTAGAGGTACTTACTAGAGGACAAGAGTTGTGTGAGGGTAGTTGTCCTATCTAAAGAAATTGTTAGAAGTGAGCTGTTTTCAGATTTTTTACACTGAGTTATTTTTTGTTTTATTTCGTAGTTTACGGCTTCGGAGAAAATAGTTAAGGTTAATCTATCACGATTACAGAACATTTAAGTTAAATAATTGTTAGTGTTTGGTGGGATGGTCCGCCCTAGAGTGTTTATTCTAGGATTAGTTGCTCTATATTCGAGTTAATTACTTTGTTTAGTTACGTAGTCTAGTTTCGCTGTAAATGTCTTGACAATAGCTAGTAACTAAGTCGTCACTTCTAGAGCGTAGGACGTTTCCATGACCTTGTTTTCAAACAAGCACTGTAAACATCTACAGAAAAATAGATACATTTTGTCGGTTAACTCTAATAAATCACGTGCTCATAACACGTGGTACATATATCATGTGTTATTATTTTACATGTTCAGACCAAGTGCTTTTACGTTTGTCCCACATTTCTGTACATTTTCTATATCTTCCCTGAAGGTATAAATACCCTTCTTCTACCGGGCAATAAGTCAGTTGCTCTTCCTTTCTTCCACCTTATTTTTCCTTCACCAACTGTGTGTGTTAAAATGTTAAAAATATTCTTAGTCTTTAAAATTAATATTGTGCTGAACTTCCCAGAAAGCCAGCATCATTTATAATTGCTATCCAAAGCGTTATTTATAAAAGGGTTTAAGGGTAAAAGTAAGAAGTCTTCGTCATTATTTTAGCATTGTAGTATTTCTTATAAGTCTCATATAAAAGCTTTGTTTTACGATATACCATAAGACTTTTTTTTTACATTATGCTTTAAGTGGGCACCAAGGATCGGAAAGAACGATTAGATTTATTAATGCGTTCTTCCTAACCCTTAATATGTATTTATACTTTTATAATTGGTACTTACATATTTATTATTAAAAATATGTTAGGCATCTGCAATTAATATTTAATAAAAAATAGTTGATGGTATGGTCCATTAACAGCGTACTGTTAAATAAGATAGAGTTCGTTTTAATTATTTGAAACCGGTAGATTAAATCTACTAAGATTATTTTTATAATTGTATATATATAAATTCCTATTAACTATTAATAAATAACAATATTTTTGTTCTTTACTTGGGCGTCTTTTCAGTTTATGGGGCTGTAAAGAAGTTTTAGCTTTATTGTCTGGAGGGCAAGTTTAACATATTGTTTTGGTCTAACTCCGAACGGTGTGGTGTGTTGCCCAGTAACTGTCTATGGGATAGCTTAGAACTTAACGTCTTGAGAAGTGTGCATTACTTAAAAACCTAAAAGCTCAATAGAAAATTTAAAACAAAAAACGCTCAAATAAAATAATAATGTGAGATCATCAAAACAAGAAAATTTCGAGGAGATTTTTTCAAAAGTTATAACCTAAATTTTTGTGGATTAAAAAAATTATGTAAATATTAAAAAAGTATGCGACTTTTGTAACTTTTACTACTTTGTGAGGAATAGTCTTTCATGGATTGACATTAAAAGTATAACCTTATTTACCTGTGATTTTTAACAAACCTAAATGTATTATTATAATCACGGACTATAGCCTATAAATATTAAAAATATTATTATTATATCTTTATCTTTTTTTAGTTTTTCTTTTCAACATGCACTGGTTGGCTGGCCCAGACGAGATATTAAGTGCTACATTCCTGTTTGTAATTAATGTGGAAAACTCATGTGCCCTATATTATAAATTGAACATTTTTGAGTAATTTCTTTCATTGCAATAAAAATGATATTGTCAAGTTACTATATATATTTCTTATTTACATTTATATTAGTCAGAATGACCCTGGAGTAGTCAAACATTTATATAGGGGATAGTACTTGTAAGTTAAACACATGGCAAAATAACGTGTTATTACAAAAGCTATAAATTAAATTGAGAAAGACTTACAACTGAGGACAAAAGCTTATTAACTTGGTAAAAGACTGAACTTTTTAATATATGAAAGTGCATTACTAAAATGATTCTATGCTTACGAAATTTTTTTTGACAACTTGTAAGTAAAAACTTACGTACTAGAATTTTTGGTAAATTAGACTTCTAAATTGGTCTACAAACTTCTACTATGAACTATTCACGAGAGGAGCGCCAATATAATTTTTTAGAACCCTTTTAGTTATATTTTGAACTTTTCT